AGCAAAGGATATGACAGCTAGCACAGCTGTGCTCTCTGGACAAGAAGAACAGTTCAGGAGGGAGAGACTCTAGTGAGGAACGAACAAGGGTAACATTACTTACTAGTTACTAGTACTTCCACATAATTAACTGCCCACCGGGCATTGCGTGAACGTTGAAATTGGTTCAAAATCCAACCTGGTACGGCCATGGCTGTACCCGCCGTACTACTACTGTCCATTCAGAAAAAGATGAGCGCTGGCTCTGGAGAGCTCCCGTGTTTGGTGATTTTGCCAGTGCCGCGAGACTCGAAACTTGAAAAAGGGTCCAAAAAAGGTACCTCAACTGGGGTTTGAACCGCAAATGTACTGTTCTGCAAGTGGAGTGCACGGGTTGGATTTTCATAGCTTTTCCCCAATTCAGTGCTTTGGGGGCAAAACCTGGCCGAAATCCTATTCTTGTTATGGCTTGCTCTTTGGAGAAATAGACTTTAAAAACACAATTGGAAGAGCATTCCATGGAGGCTTGCCAAAAAAATTGTGACAAAAACTCAAAGTTTGGCCCATTTATGGCCAAAAGCTAGGATATCATCTTTTTCTGAATGGACTGTAGTGACGACAGCCCTGACTCAGTGATCCAGATCGAACCCTATAAGTATTATGCGGCGCTTGGTTATCCGGCCGGCTGTTATGCAACTACATTGTACATCCCTCAGCTACTGTATAGCAGGAAATTTTCGGACAGAATTTATTTTCGTACGATTTCGTACACGGCCTCTTTTGCACTAAAATTAATTCCGTGCTAAAACTTGTTCATGTGAAATTATGTACACTATACATGCGGACTGCTTGCGAACACGTGCATTTAGCATGCAGCACTGTACGAAAATAAAACCCGTATGAAAGGTCGAATTTCGGCTTTGTCCGAAAATGTGCTGCTATACAGTATCTAGACCTCCGTTATCCAACACTTGGCTACCCATACACTGCAGTAACTTTGCAAATGAACTTGTCATATAAAAATTATTAAATCTACACCTGCCTATGCATATGGCCGATTGGTTTGCAGGCCTGCCTGCGAATCATGAGGTCCCGAGTTCAAGACCCGCGCTGGTAGCAGGGAGCGCGTAAAAAGACTTTTTACGCGTGTTGAACTGCGCCGACACCCACGGTCAACTGGGTACTCACAGCTCGGAGTGAGAATAACAAGGATGCAGTTTACAGGGTTATGGGCCGTTACACGCCCGATTGGTTGAGAGACTAACCTCCTCTCCCCTGACTCACTCGTGAGGTCTGCATTCGCCACTACAGTCCATTTCAAAACTATAGACGCGTACCTAGGCAAAAACCGTTATGCCAGCATCTATACCACATAAAATCTGTGATCACTTTGTGCATAAATTTTTCCAAATTGGGCGTCTGTTATCCAATCCTTTAGAAACTATATGAGAGTAATTGTGGAGCGATCCTGAGCAATATTCCGAAAACTATTCTCAAAAAGTTCCAGCCAAATTTGAAATATTAAAAAAACCCTACGCGTCTATAGTTTTGAAATGCACTGTAAGGACTTAGGTGAACAGGCATAGTGGTGGCCTGCGGATGCGAAGGCTAGTTTGTGTGTTTCTGAACATTCAAGCGATGCCGAAGTTGATCCCGCGAATATTATTATTATTATATTTCACCTGCCTATTATCGGTGCAATGTGCTGGGATTGTTCCATGGGCCAGGGGTATGATCTACGGAGTTGTGAAAGTACATGGTTGTATATTGCATCCCAATTATTATACACAAACACACACACACACACACACACACGCACACACACACACACACACACACACACACACACACGTGACTTCCTGCGTTGGCATGTAGTGAATTCTGTTGAACGACTCTACTAATGTGGAGTGGGTGGACAGATGTACCAGCTCAATCTGATGGACCGTCTCACCTCTGTGTGGGACATCACCAGGCGACAACGGAGTTCAGAGCGACGACAACGGTCCAGCAGCGATCAAAAAGATCAAGAAGGACTACTAGTAGTTGAAATAGAATACCGTCCTGATAAGCTAAAGCAATTATTTTTTTAAATGCTCCACTTCACAGAAAAACTGCTGTTCGGAAAAAATATCCCATGTCGAGCAGCTGGGGAAATCCCTGGGCCAGAATGCAAGATGCTATGCGCATGCTGTCATGTCAGATCGAACGTTCAGGCATCGTGATGTCACTGTTACATGTGAAAGACACGAGCACACACAGCTTGAAAATACAAAACGAAACGATCAAAATGTTGAAATGAGATGGTGATGTCTTTTGTAAATTGTAGTGAAGAAGTGACTGTGTGGAATTTGTCTTGGACTTGCACCATGTACCAGCTCTTTTGACGCCTTCGCCGAGAATAGTTGGTAGATTTCGTGAGCACGATTATCTCCTTTCTTGTGCTAGGGTGTGCTGGACAAACCAGCAGTGTCGAAAGCAAGAGGCCACTGATATTTTTTTCACAAACACGTCGGAGTGGTAGTGTTGTCTTTGGACAACCTTGTCTATCCTGCCAGGGAATTGAGTGTTCGTGATTCTTTTGGGCCTGGAGTGAGGGAGCATCACTCCAGAAGTTGTTCCTCTCGGGATGGGGTTGACTATCAAGGCGTGGACCGTCAGCTGCTCTGGTTCGTAAGCCATTTGTGCAGGAAGACTAAGGGGAGGTGTGAGGTCGCTCAGATCGGAGCATGGCGGACGATGGACCCGTTCTACTCTGCGATGAGCTGCATTTGCACTTACGTCACGTCGCCAAGGTGACTGTGGCTGTGCTGCTGCCGGAGATGAAGGGGGTGAGCGTCAGCATTTCGAACTGGGAGATAATGGAGAAGCTGAAAGCGCTGGCCGCTCCCGAAGTGTTCTCACAGCTGCGCGTTGGCAAGACAACACGCCAGATCCTGTACTTCGAAGGAGAGCTGCCATCACTGCGTGCATTGCGCAAGGCCATAGTTCAGCTTCATGGAAAGGCAATCAAACTAGGCGGTCTTACACAGCAGCTCCGCGTGAAGGCCGGCGAATCCGAGCTCCACTTCCCGACCAAGAAGGACTGGGAGAGCTATTTCCAGGACCGCGGCGTGCCGTCGTTCGACGAAGGCTTACCGGGAGACCGCTGTGACACCATCTGTATCCAGGGGATCCCTACCATGTGGATGATACCAGCTGGAAGCCGCCTGCCCAACTTGACAAGCACATCCAAGGTGCGCGACAAGGTAGAGCGGCATGATATGCTCACCAAAATGCTCTCCAAGTCGTTTGGAAAGTTCGGCAAGGTGAAACGCGTCGACGTGATTGAAAACGGGGCCGAGCTCGCGTCCGGTAACTTTTCGTCGTTCGGCCCGTCCACCACGCCGCAGTCGACGTTTGTCGGCTACGTTCAGTACGAGGACTACGCGTCGTTCTGCTCCGCCATGGCTGGCCTGCGGGGCATGAAGCTGGTGCAGCGCGTTAAAGGCGAGCCTGAGCTGGCCGTGCCGCTCGCCGTGAACTTCGACAAGAGCAGCCACATGAGCGATCGCTGCGTGCGCAAGCGCCGCAAGGACCTGGACCGACTCTACGAGATCGAGCTCGAGGCGAAGGAGAAAGCGCAAGCCACTGCGGCGGCCGAGAAGCAAAAACGAGAGGAGAAGCTGCTGCAGGAGAGGAAGCAGAGAGAAGAGGAGGAACGGAAGCGCCGCGAAAAGGCCGCGGCAGAAGCAGAGCGCCAGCGGCTGGAAAAGGAACGGCGTCGGCAGGCGGAGAAAGAGCAGCGGCGAGAGGAGCGTCAGAAACGGCGAGCGGAGAAAGAAGCGGCCCGGGTGCAGCGTGAAGCGGAAAAGGAGGCCTTGCGGCTGCAGCGCGAGGCAGAGAAAGAGGCAGAGAGGGAGCGACAGTTACTGCTGCAGCAGCGTCGTCGAGAGGCCGATCAACTGCTGAAGCAGATTTTGCTAATGGCTGCAGCACAGCATCAAGTGGATATGCGCAAGGAACAGGAAGAAGAAGCTCGCAAGGAGCAGGTTCGCCGCGAGGAACTCCTGCGGAAAGAAAGGGAGGAACGCGAAGAACTGGAGCGCAAGCGAAAAGCCGCCGAGGAAGCAGCAAAGCGCGCCGAAGCCGACATGGTACTGAAACAGCGCGACTCTCTGATGGAGCAGGTTAAGAGTATGGAAGACCGTCGTCTTGAGCTTCAACGAAGCCTTCTGCGCCGCAAGCTGGCTAGCGAGCGGGCGCTGCTGCAGGCAACCCAGGCAGCTAAGAGGTAGCCAGCGCTTCCTGACCTGCTGGCCTTCTCCTACTCGTATGATTGCTGATTACTGTGACACAGGTTGATAGGTGAGCATGTATGGTGTAGTGATGGCTGGCTGCCTCTTATCAGCTTGGCTGGCCACCGCTGCCTATACTCTGTGCTCACCAAAGCGGAAGCTACCTTTTATGGTTGCCGAATTCGATCGAATCATTTGCACATATTTTTTGGAGCGTTGGACATATTTTTTAACGAAACATTTGCGTAGTGCTAGTATCCGTCCGTTTGTATTAGACTGTTTTGGTGTTGTGTGAACACTAGGTCATGTTGATTCAGTGGATCGAATTCTTCCCGACCGCTGCCTGTGCTTCTCTATGCCAGTTTTTATCTTACTCTACACTGGTGGGTTTTCTCCCGTTTGAGTCTGTTGAGGCTACTCATTGAGCTCTTGTCTATGTTCCATAGGGTTTGCTTCTATTGTGTGTACATTCTGGTGTGATATTTATGACAGTGAACGGAGTGGCTTCTTGTGTGGTGGCGGTGGCGCTGGACGGTTCTCCGAGCAACATGGAGATGAGCGCCGACCAGCTCAATCCGTCTGCACACTGTATGCTGGCAGTAGGTTGGAGGGTTCTCCGTGTACATGTCGAGGTTCTACTTGTAGCCATGGTGGCATAGCGTTAACGTGGCCTCTCTCTCTCTCTCTCTCTCTCTCTCTCTCTCTCTCTCTCTCTCTCTGTCTCTCTCTCTCTCTCTGTCTCTCTCTCTCTCTCTCTCTCTCTCTCTCTCTCTCTCTGTCTCTCTGTCTCTCTGTCTCTCTGTCTCTCTGTCTCTCTCTCTCTCTCTCTCTCTCTCTCTCTCTCTCTCTCTCTCTCTCTCTCTCTCTCTCTCTCTCTCTCTCTCTCTCTCTCTTTCTCTCTCTCTCCCTCCCTCTCTCTCTCTCTCTCTCTCTCTCTCTCTCTCTCTCTCTCTCTCTCTCTCTCTCTCTCTCTCTCTCTCTCTCTCTCTCAAGCGGAGGTGTTTTCGAGTAAAGTAGAAACCGCACCTTTGCGTTACAACCAGCTATACGATTGCGTTGTGAAACACAACCAACTTGGGAAGTTTCACCTGTTCCGAGCCACCTCCATGTTTTCGGGTGTGACGAGCTTCATATCTGTGATACGGCGGTCAACACCTGCTGAACATCGCACTCGCTATTATAATTATGAAGCTGCGAACAGTTCTGCCTCTTGCCAACACCATCAGTTCGCGTGATCTGGTGCCTTGGTCAATGAGAGGCGATATCTTGCTTGGCACGCTGGAGTATCAGCTCACGCATGGTGTATAGTCGATCCGGGACGGCAAAACCTATCTGGTTGATCAGGCCGTGGCCGGACCAACTGTTTGGCCACCACTGAACCCATGTTGTCACTGTTCTAGAGGAGGTCATATTTTCCGGCCATATCAATTATCACCAGGGAGTAGTAAAATACATTTTACTACTCCCTGATTATCACACACAAAGTATGAAGCCGGGACTAGGGTATGGCCGGACCAATCAATTACTGTTTCGCCGGTGCTATCGATGACACACTGCAACGACATCCTGGATTGCGAGCGGGACGACATTCGAGAATATTGCCGGCACACCATTGAGTGTGTGTGGGGGGGGGGGGGGGGGGGGATTAGGATGTAGACTGGTGCAGGGTCCTCTACACTTTCCTTGTGTTGCTTCTGCAAGGGTATATACGAGCAGCCCTGATCCACTGGCATGATCATCGAGATAGTGGTGATGAATCGAGTGACCTCCCGGGAAGTGTTCTGAGGAGCTCAGCAGCCAATCATAGGCCTCACTGCGGACACCGTCCCATTCGGGCATGCCATGTGGAACGCCTGTTTTTCAGCTTGCCAATGGCTCTGCAGACGTCCAGCTGTGTTACTGGTATAACGACGGCATTACCCTTACTCGAAATGGGTTCTGTACTGTTGCTTGCGGGTTGGTTTATTTTCAATTCGCACAATAAACGGGAACTTGGCCCAATGATATGAAGGCAAATGGACAAGCCAAATTTGGAAAAGAAAGGACTTCAATTTGTTGAGTCTGCAGGTTATTACGAAAGAAAATGGATCTCGCAGAGGAGTCAAGGGAGTATCGGGGGTGGTCAATGAGAGCTAGGGGCGGGCTAGTCAGAGCAACAGTACGGTAAGCAACGTATGCGGCTAAACATCTTATGTCTTGCTATGGTCCGAACATCATCCGGCAGCAGGTTCCAGAGTGCAGATCCTGCGAAGGACGGCCGAGACGCGCCAGAGCGAGTGGAGGATGGTTGGCTTAGCAGACCACTGGACCTCTGATGACATGTTCTCCTGCCAGCAGGCCTGACGAACAGTTCAGATGACGTGGCACTAGCTTTCCCATGAAGGCACCTCCAGACAAATATTCGTAGCTTGCGCTTGCTCAGTTCGCCTATCCAGTACAAGCCGTGCTGCACCAGCAGGGGATGCACGGTTGTGTAGGGTGGGTGGCCGTCGATAGCTCGGGTAGCCTTGTTTTGCAGCAGACCCAGGCGATCAAGCCGGCGACCAAGGAGCGCGGGGAAGAAGGTGTTAATGCCATAGATGATGTCGGGGAATGACAACAGGCTGAATGAAGAGACACCGTGCAGACCGAGACAAGGAGCGACGGGCTCGCCACAGCGCACCAATCTTCCGGGCCGTCTTGGTGACAATTCGGTCAACCTGAGCATCCCAGGACAGCTTACTATCAAGTACAACGCCGAGGTACGTGGTGATTGCTCCGGTTGGAACGGCTGCTCCACGACACTGGACAGTTATGAGAGGGTTGTCCACCTGTCGGTGACGAAGGAAGGTCACGGCTCGGCTTTTGGTAGGGTGACGACAAGGCCCTTCGCCTGTAGCCAAACAGCTAGGTTGGTGCCTGACTACCGTCGTAAGCGTAGCAGAGACAACGCCAACAGAACTCTGCGAGGAGTATAATGCTATGTCGTCTGCGAACTGGATGCTGGGTGCAGGACGGAGGGGACGTCGCGGGCGTAAATGGAAAATGGCACAGGACCAAGAACAGAGCCTTGCGGTACACCACAAGTGCAGGGGCGACCTGACTCGTGGTTGGCCCAATGCAGATCATCTGCTCTCGCGTAGTCAGGTAGCTTGCAAACCAGGTGAGGGCCGACCCGTACGTGACACACCGACATCAAGCAGATCGACAATGAGCTGTGTGTGGCGGACTTTATCGAAAGCTTTAGACATATCCAATGAATGTGCATAGTCCGGTCACATTTCCCCTGTCCTTGGCGGCGAAGAGACTGGAGTGAGAAAACTGCGTCTGGAAGTGACCCGACATAAGCTCTGCTTTCTGCTCTGCACGACCTACAAAAGCGCCATCGCTAGCTGTTCTGAACATGGATCTCTGCCAGCTGCCCAGTTTCCTCCTTGACTTGAGTGTAGTGCACATCTGGGCAGTGTCATAAATTTTCTCATTGTCTCTATTTCTGCAGTCCAGCTTAGAGATTGAACTCTTCTTGATACCTGCCCGCAGTGCAGTTGTGGAGGACATTTGTTACTGGCGCCGTGTCTTGAGCTGCGACGCTAAGTAACAAAGTTGAAACGGCTCCAGGCCTGTATCTTGACTTCTTATGTCTGGAGAGCTAGAGGGGCTGCCCTGCAGGGCCATGATCTGGGATATCCGGATGCCCGGCAGCCTTTCAGAATCTGATGGTTCGCGGTGACATCCGCTCACTCACTCCAACTCCAAGTACATGTACTTCCTCTGCAGTTGTCATGTCTCAGTTATGCTAGTGGCCCGGTGCTGGTCGGAGATTGCGCCAGGAATCCGCTGCTGATGTTTGATCCAAGCAATTAGCTACTATAGTCTACTACTAGCCCGGTTTGTTCGTATTCATCTTGCTGTACATTGTTGCCTGGTAAATTGTCCACAAAATCCTGGGGTTCTTCTTGCGTCGGACAAAGCTAGTTCTGCCGATATGCTGGAGATTGACTATCATACGCATTCGTTGTGCCCTGTCACAGTGTCACTACCAACCTATGGCCTGATTATAATTCACAACCTGAACCAGTGCATACCGTATTATCTCTAATATAAGCACAGTCTCCAATAATAGCACGTCTCCAATAATAGAATACCTTGGGGCGGCATTCAAAAAATAGTGCTCAGTCTCCATTATAAGCACACTGTGTAAATTCATTATCTGTACCGGCGAAAAAACCCTGAAATGTGTGTGTCTGACATGAATTTGGCATGGAAACATGCCTCTGAAATGAGGTTGAAAATAACTTGAAATAATAATGGAACAGTCTCCAAAAAAGGAACGTCTCCATTAATAGCACGGGGCGGAGGTACATTGAAAAAATAAAGGACCGTGCTTATATTAGAGATAATACGGTATATGGACTACCATTTCTGAGGCCGCTCGGACAAGGCGATTGGGAACAAGGATAAAGTCGATTTGATTTAAATGTAGATCGCTCTCGGGCCAGCTTCTCAAACTGAGCTGTCAGTTGCCCAGCGGTGCCCCACCTTTGCATTGAAGTCTCCGCCGAAGAAACGTTCGTCCGATGAGAAAAGCTTCGTACGAGGGACTTTGGGTGGCTCGTTACTTAGGCCGCGATTGTCGGAGCAAACGCCGTGATGAACTCAACCGGTGACTTGATTGAAGAAGGGGATGAGAAAAGGGCATATCTGCCGCTCACAGCTTTCCGACACGACCAGAACGGTCGAAAAGTACGGCCTGCGGGCGCATCAACTCCGCCAAATCTGTAGCTAGCTGCACAGACTGACTCGTGAGGGGTTGGTAGCCTAGGGGCAAGCCCCAGAAACGGTGCTCCTGAACTGCACGCCGCCGAAATATCGACAGCGCGCGCCGACCGTGCAGTCTAGTCGACAGCGAGCGAGCAAGTACATGTTGTATTATTATTATTTATTCAACATCTCCTGGCTCGTCGTAATTAGACTGCCAATATTTATGAGAAGTCGGGTGGTAGCCAACCACGGCGAACTGAATAATAAGGAGAGAAACGAAAGAGATTTCAGAAACAGGGAGGTGTTGGCACAGGGTAATGAGAACGTGTTGATCTGGTGGACACAAACCAGTTATACTTAGCAAGGTGTTTGGGAACCAGGTCTAATAAGATCAGGTGTACAAGGATGCAAAGATGTTGCTGGCGTCGCTCTAAAAGGGGAGATACTGAAGCTAAACTGTAGAGACGTTGGGAGGAGAATGTTTGATCTTTGAGAAACAGGATTTTTAAAAGCAGACGCTGGTGTATTTCCAGAGTTTGAACAAGAGCCTGAGACAGGCCGCACCACGCTGTATCACAATAATCAAATATAGGTAGAATATACGACGTAAAGAACAAATTTCGGCAATGGTCATTTAAATGTTGCCAGTGAGTGTTGAAGCTACAATATAGGTGTCAGGCGGTCGAATGTCTCAGTACTCTAAATGACTAAAAATTGGCTGTCTTGACATGCTACGAGGTGCAGAAATAAATAAAT